TAAGTCAAGTTAATAAGGTATGTGACCGCCTTTGTTAGCTATGCAAAGTCTACATCTTCTAATTATATATTTAAAAAGATTTTGACCATATTTAAAGGACAAGCCATCAAATAACTCTTTTAAACTTTTTCAAAGTTCTTCAGCTGAAGTTACAGGAGCTTTAGTCAGTTTTTGATCAAGCATAGACCATACATTTTCGATTGGATTTAAATCTGGCGATCTAGCTTGTCACTGGAGTAAATTGATTTTATTTTCTTTAAACCAAGCTGTTACTGTTTTTGCTTTGTGACAAGGGACATTATCTTGCTGAAACTTCCATTCTGGCTCATCTTTAAAAAATAAGTCTTGTTGGAATCAAATGATTAATAAGTGTCTTGATGTATCTGTTAGGGTGCATCACAAAACAACAATTTAACAATTTTGATTTTGTCTGACACCTTATTGTGTTGTGTAGATTAAAAAAGCACTGTATTTCAAATATTTTGGTACTAAAAATATTTTTAGAGGTCCCACAACACCCTTAAAATTTTAAAATAATAAGTATTTTATAAAAAAAATGTTTTTTCAGATTTTTCTGCCATATGATATGGCAAATAAGAAAAAATGTGCAATTTTTTTTCTTATTTTGTCAGAAAAATCAAAAGTAATGTTTTTTTTATAAAATACTTATTATTTCAAAATTTTTTATAAAATTTTGCTTCATTTAAGACCAAACATGACCTACTTTAAAAAAACTATCTTTTTGAAAATATTAGGGATACATTAAATATTCAAGGGTGTTGTGGGACCTCTAAAAATATTTTTAGTACCAAAATATTTGAAATACAGTGTTTTTTTAATCTACACAACACAATAAGGTGTCAGACAAAATCAAAATTGTTAAATTGTTGTTTTGTGATGCACCCTAGTATCTGTATTGGTCCGTTTTACCAGTGTACAAGTAGCATGTGCGGGTCCATCATACGTGATATAACCCCAGATCCCATCTGAACCTCCTCCACCCTGTAACCGAGGTACAATGAAATGATTATGAATCTTCTCATTATGGTGTCTTCGAACAGTTACTCTATTTTTTCAATAAACAGCTGAATAATTTGATTCATCGCTGAATATAATTTTTTTTATATCACTATCACTCATCTTAAGAATTTTCTTGCAAAATTGTAGCCGTTTGAGTCAATCTGATCTTTTAAGCATTGGTTTTCTAGCAGCAGTATGCATAATTTTATATATTTATATAATTATTATACCAGCAAGGTGATAATTCCTTTTTTGATTTCTTTTGAGACGTTTTACCCATTTTCTAAATATATTAAATGCAAATAATGAGTAAAAATTGTATATTTTGATTAGCGTACACTAAGTAAATAATTTAATTTTTAAATGGGTTTAAACATAATATATTAGAAAATATATTTTGATTCATGTTAGAATTACTATCTTTAAAAAAAAAGGTTGGGCACTTATATGGAAATAAAGATAGAAAAAAGTGAGTCTAAATTTATGAGACACATTTTCTTTGTTTTTAAATAGCGCTATTATAAAAAAAAAAAAAAAAAAGACCAATATATAAAATAAAAGGTGTGTGTTTTTTGTTATTATGTTGGAAACAAACTTTGTTAAATTTAAAACAAAAATTTTAAACAACTTAATAGATTTTTTTTGGCATTTTAAGAGCTAAACTTAAGAAATTTTTTTTCTGAGTCTAAATTTTTGATCACAAGTGTATGTGTGTATATATATATATATATATATATATATATATATATATATATATATATATATATATATATATATATATATATATATATATATATATATATATATATATATATATTTGTATGTATTTAGGTGCTCCCAGAAGTCCTTACGGTCTTATCATAGAGCATTGCCGGAGAGTATTTAACAGGAAATTCACGCCTCCTTCTGTATCAATGTCGCTTATTGGGCTAGAGCTGGCGTGGAACCTCGATATATATATATATATATATATATATATATATATATATATATATATATATATATATATATATATATTGTTGTTTTATTGTACCAAATTAAGATACAAAAGTCTCTTGTTCGTTTGAGAGTGATCAATATAATGTAAGTGTTTATATATATATATATATATATATATATATATATATATATATATATATATATATATATATTATTATTATATATATAGTGTATATATATATATATATATATATATATATATATATATATATATATATATATTTTTATATATATATATATATATATATATATATATATATATATATATATATATATATATATATATATATATATGTGGGTACATCAGGCTTTCCCAGGAAAGGCGTGCGGTCGCACGTCTTGTTTGTCCACGCATAGAATAAGTTTTTCAGAAAACGTGACCGCGGCAATATTTCGTGGGAAAGCGAAACTTATCCACAGAGAATAAAAAATAATATTAAAAAAAGGAAACGAAGTCTAAACAAAGTATAAAATTGAAATTGGATGTAAGAAAAATATTTTAATAATAAAAAAAAATTCTTGTAATAAAAAAAAAAAAGTCTTGAACATTTTTTTAAAATTTTTATACTGTTTTTTTTTTTTTTAGGGTTGCTATTTTTAGCTACAAAATTTGATACAAGTCAAGGAAAAGACGACTATAAGTCATTAAGTTTTCATAAAAATAAAAAGACTTGATACGTAATTTATTCACGAACTTTATCAGACAACGTATTAAAAAACTGATTTTTTCATTTAATTTAGTTTTTACGAAGGTTTATGCAAAGGCGATGACGTTATTCTCTGACGTTAGACAAGAAAATAAATTGCTGTTTTAATTATTAAATATATTATTTGAGATTTTAAACATAACAAAATTTTAATGTGAATAAAGTTCTCTCGACTTATTTTAAACTGATTATACTGAGTCAATGCTCGTCTTTTATTACGTTTAAATTATTCAATTGCATAATTTTATAATTACGAAAGAAGTTAAAAAAATAACTGCATTGCTTCTGTTGTCATTGTTACGAAAACAGTTCCTTCGGGACATTATTATATATTAACACTTGTTAACAATGTCAATTAATGATTGCAAAATAAAATAAACTCAATCGCTTGACAATAAAATTTTCTTTCATTTGAAAATAAAAACAAACATATTTTACAAATAAATAGCAGTTGTTTTCACGCTTTCTTGCGTATCATAATACATTTAAACATTTAAATGTATTTACGAAACATTTAAAAATTGTTTATAGTTCTATCGTGAATTTTAAACTGACTGATAAAAGTCATAAACAAATTTTACATTAAAACTTTTATTTTCATTAAACTATAACCTTTTTTTTTTTGATTTTATTTTTCTTATTGATTTGATTTTTCATAGCTGAAATAACTACCACCCTAAAAAAAAATTTATATATAAATAAATAAAATATAGCTAAATTTTTTTTTTAATAATATACATTAATTTTTTTAATTTTAAAGCACAAACAGATTTCTGTTATTTACTTTAAGATTGCTTGCATTTTTGCGGTATTTTCGTTTAGCTTTGTTTTGGCGCGAAGTTTTGAAACGCATAATAACATGACGTGGTCAGTTAGTCAGAAAAATTTGTTTTATGTGTGGACAAACAAGGCGTGCGACCGCACGCCTTTTCTGGGAAAGCCTGGTACATATAAGTAAATATTAAAGATGATTTCTTTATATTATCATGTATAATAATGTATATTTTAAAGAGTGCTCAATAGATAAACTAGAGCTATATAGTATATATATTACTGTTACCCGCAGTATCGAAATTAGCTAAATGCTAATATTTATAATATTATATTGGGACTTAAAGTTTTATGTGTTACCACAATCATCAGGCAAGTAGTCAAAAGTTAATTTAGCTACAATGTGTTTAGAAAAAATTTACGGTTTATATTAGTATTTTAGATCGTTATTGGACTGAAATTGTTTAGTAGTTAAGGTTAATGTTATTATTAATTTGTTTTTGGTTAATATATGTGAAGTTGTTGTATGTTTTAATGTGACATTAAAACATACAATTACATATTTTTATTAAAAAACTACAAAGCTCGCTACAAACCTAACTAACCACTAACATTAACTACGCAACCCTATTTCATACACCTCTAGGCTAACCAATAAATTATTCACATGCACAGATTTTGTAATATATTTCGTAAAATAATTTATATTCTTATACCCACTTTTGAAACTTATTTTTATATTCATTTATTTTTAATACAATAATTTTTGAAAATAATTCACATTATTATTAAATCGTATTTTTATAACAGACAATGTCTGTTATAAAAATTTTTATAAGTCTTTATTGGTTTATGTTAAACATAAGGCAGTAAATTTATTTTTTCAGGTATCAAAACTTGATTAAAATTAAAATAAAAAGTTGTTTAAATGTCTAAAATTCTTTGTTAAATGCAAAGTTTGCTACATTGTGTTTAAAAACTTAGTATATAGCAATGGTATTAAAACAAATTTTTTTTTCAGGTCAATTCTTTTTCAGTTTCCCATTAATACTACATTACCCAAATTATTTGCTGCATTCTTATTATTATCAGGGCTATTTTTGAGTGCTTTCAATTTTCTCAGAGCTATTTCTAAAATATTTATCAAAAGCATTCAAAAAAATTTTTTTTTTACATTGTTTTTAAAATATTTAATTTTTTTTGATGAATTTTTATTTATAGTTAACTAAAGTCTTAAATGTTTAAACTTTTTATGCAAACTGTTAAGTTTTAATGAAAACCAAAAAAATGTTTTGAAAACAATTTTTTTTTAAATACCACACTATTTTTGTATCTTGTTTAATTTAGCATTTTAAAGTTGTATGGTTAATTTAATAGTCTAATAATAAACTTGGTTTCATTCTTAGACCATTCAATCAATTTATACAATCAATTTTTCTACTATCAATTAATTTTATTTTTGTAATGTTGTATTTTTATTAATTCATTTTATACAGATACTTTAACTTTGTTTCTTCATAGTAGTTAACATTTAAGTGTTTTGATTTTTCTTGGACGATATGTCCATTTACATTCCAAAAAGATATGTGGTTGCTGTTTTGGGGCACTTTGCTATCTTTATCATGTATACAATGCGAGTAAACTTGAGTGTTGCATTGGTTGCTATGGTTAAGACATCAAAACTGCATAATAAAGTTTTAAATAAAGAATGTAAACAAGATTTTTATAAAAATGAAACTAAGCATGTAAGTATATTATGTTTTATATATATTTTGATGCTATTTATAATTCATTCAGAGATGTTGCATTAACAATCTGAACTATTCATGTTTTGAGTTCCTTGTGTTTAGATTTAAAATTTTTTTTAAAACCATTGATTCTCATGAATTTTTAAGAATTTAAATATAAAAACATGTATTTAGACAAATTTTATATTTATAATACTTTGGAAGCTAATTTTTGCTTGAAACAGTATTTTATGTAAGATTGCTCACATAGTTTTAAACCATTTTTAAATATCATATCATTTTAACTAATTCTACTATGAGACATAATGACTTTATTATGATGTATATATAATAACTAAAGTTATTGAATAATGATTCCTATAATAACTATTTCTATACATAAAAATTAAAACAAATTATGTTTCTACTATCTACAGGATTTAAGTTAGACGCATGGTATCTATTTACTAGACACACAATGTCATTTATTCTGCCCCTAATTGTGTAATAAATCCATATTTCGTTTTTTCTGACAAAATAAACAATGATTAGTGTTGCCTTACTGTAACAGGTCTCAGAAACGGTCCGAAGGGTGCAACTTTTGACCCTTGGTACTATATATATTAGCCAAATTCATTTCAAAGATCTGGTTTTGAAATTAATTTGATGTAGAGAAAAAGTAAAGATAAGTAACTTTGTTATTGCAAAAATCAACTAAACACTGCTGTCGCTGCTATTATTAGTTCCTATTTCATCAAGATTAAAAACGTTAATGGCTAAAAAAGATAAAAAAAGAGTCTTATGTGGTGCTCTTGATGAATTGCAAAACAAAATCCAAAGGTGTTAACGTTGTCCGAAGCTTAAGAATAAACTGAAGGCAATAAGGCAATAGCCTAATAGGCTATTGAGAATTTTTATAGTATTGATTAGCAAAAATGTTTTTTCAATAGTCTTACTTAAAATACCTAAAATTATAGCTGAATGGTCATCAAACATGATGTTTCAAGATAAGAAAATTAGGGAAGATATCATTTAAAGATATTGTTACCGTATAAGGAAGGGAACTGGGGGCTTCCTGAAAAAGCATAAAAAATCCTACAAAGTTGCAAAATAGTTTTAGTTAAAATAATTGCCTGGTTAATTGTTACATGCATTAAATCTATAAGTATAAAATTATATAGTGACTATTTGAGATCAGCTGTTTCACTTTTTGATTGAATTAATCCTGAAAAAGTTGATTGATTTAATCCTGTTAGTTCTAGTAGGTTTTTTACTGTGTTGCTTATTTTCATTTTTGTATTTTATAAAACACAATAATGATAAAATACTAACCAGGGCTGTGGAGTCGGAGTTGCGGAGTTGCAACATTTTTAGCGGAGTCAGAGTCGGAGTCGCTAAAAATTTGAAAAAAATTTTTTCAAATTTTTAGCGACTCCGACTCCAATAGTAAAACTTTTCGGTATTGCACATGCATGTATGAAACATTCAATTAACCTTATATTTATATTAAACCTCAAAGAACGTTTCATAAATTTGTCAAAAAACTTTTTTTTAATTTAACCCATAATATTTTTTAAAGAATTCAAAGAATTTTTCAAAAATTTTGCTTTGGAGTTGGAGTCAGAGTCGGAGTTGAAGTCGGAGTTGTACTCAAAAAATTTCAACAACTGGAGTCGGAGTCGTTACTTTTTTTATATGACTCCACACCCCTGATACTCACTACAATAAAAATTACAAAAGAAAAGATTTGAGCTCTATCTTGCACAAAACAGTTACAAAGTGTAACCATTTTTTAAAATTAACTGCGTCTTCAAAAAAAAAAAAAAAAAATAGATGTCATAATTGCTATATCAGCAGATCCAAAACTAAACTATATTTAAGTAAATGTTTGAAAGGATTATTGTTTCTAAATTGAAATAACACTTAAAAAAATGGCTGTTTAGTTGTAGCGTGTTTATTTTGTACTATTTTATTTTAAAATTGAAATTTAAACGCAAATCATCTGTCTGTCAACATTTGCATTATAAATACTCACAAAGAACTGCATTTGTTTTATCAGATTGTATTTGTTTTAATACCCCATTATTTGATTCAAATATACTTCACATAGATAACACTAAAATTAAAAATGTTTACTTTTTTTTATCATCAAACTCACAGATAATTCAATTGATAATAATAATTTAGGAAAAACTAACAGTTTTAAGAATAGAACCAAAAGTGTCACTAATATTATCCCAAATAATACTGAAAATACTTAAATGGCAGGAAATTTCTCATTAATAGAGAGCTTTTTAATAATGGTATTGTAAATATTGACCTTAGTAACCGTGTGGCTCCAAAACAATGTGGTATTAATTACATAAGCATAGAACAAAACACAAGTTTGACATAATTACAGAAAACATACAATTACACCTGGTTGACTATTAAATTTACTTGGGTTTTTTGGGAGTCTTTTATATTATATTGGGATGTTTTAAAATTGGACATCTACATCAGGAGTAGGTCATTTAGAAAATATTCAAAAAGATAAATTGTTTAAAAACTTCATTCTAAAGCCAAAGTTAAAAAATGTCTACACTTTTACACTTATTAACCTTTATTAGCCTTGAATATGGCTGTAGCCCTGATAAATTAGGCCCATCAAGAAGTTTATTAGAATAGAAAACTCAAGATTGTGTTGATTATGATGAGTCATGAGCAACAAGTAAAAAAATTTTCTTAATGTGGTGTTCAATACCAGCTACAGATTGAGTGTACAGATCAAAAACGTTAGGTTTTTTAATCATACCTGCTAGAGACCAATGCATCAAACATTTTAAAATAAAACAAAATAATACCTTATTAGTAATTTTTAACTAGTAATAAATAGTAATTATTAATTAGTAATAAAGAAGCAGTAAATTCAATATTAAGAAAATTAAAAACTAAAGTTATCTTGAAATCAAGTTTTGCAATCTAATAATATTATGTTAAAAGTCAAGTTTGGTAATCTGGGCTTGTTATGATGAAACTATTAAGAGAGTTTATAAACAATTTAAAGTTTGTTGCCATTGTAATTTTTTTGAGATAAAAGCAATTTTAACATTTTGAAAATTTTGTTTGTGAACTTGAAAAATGAAGAGTTCCTTTTATAATTTTTATAACTATAATTTATAAATTTTATAATTTTTTATAACTATAATTATTATAATTTTCTTATTGCTGAATTGTATTTTTGTTTCAGCATATCACTTTATTTTTATGATTGATTTAAGTTTTATTTTAGCTAGTCAGTTTTTTTTGCATCTGTTTTCTTATTGTTTAACTAGAATTTATTCCAGTTAAATTTATTTAATTAAATTGAATTTAATTATAATTTATTCCAGTTAAATTTAATTTATTCCAAAAACAATTTGCCAGACATTATTATAATAATAATTTTTTTTTGCATATATTAAAAATGACGCATTTTAAAAACGCGTTGAAAAACAAAACTAGTTTGTTATATTATTTTCTTATTAATACTTTATTATAATAGTTATTAATTAGAAAATAAAAACATTAAAATAACATATATATGGGCAGTTCCATTTTTAATTTAAGTTACATGCTTACTTTATCAAATATTTGCTTATTTAAACTTTAAATTAAACTTTCAGCTATTTTATATGAAAGCTGTTGTTCTAATGAATAAAATAAGTTAAAAAGTTTTGAGTTGAGAGGCCAGAAGAGAGCAAACTTATTACTGAAAATGCCACTTACACTTATGTTACACGGAAAACAAAAAATTGCTTTAACTTTTAGGTCTGATTTCTGTGAATCAGTAAAGTAGATTGTATTAGAAACTTTCACAAAATGCTGAGAATTCTATACCAATTTTATAATTGTATAAAAACTTATCAGAGTTGACCTGCTAAAGAAAAAAAACTTGTTTTTTTGATACTGTATATTTTACTTAAGTTATATCAGTTACATTATTGAGCGGTTATTGTAAATTTTTTAAATCTATTTTTAAGAATTATGTAACAAAAGAATTGCGTAAATATTGAACTCATTCATTGAAAATAATTAACAAAGAAATTTTTTTTAAACTGGTGGCACTCTTTCTGAGTGATTTTTCATAACATTTTTCAGTTTTACATCTTTATTATTACTTAATTGAGTCATTGGTGTGTCAAAGTTTTTACATACACTTACGTTTATGCGTATTACTTTATTTTTATAAGGTTGAATTTTTAAAATGCTGTTAAGTATTCACATTTAAATCTTTTATTTACATCTATATGTCAACCAAAATAATAATACATAAACAAATAAAAAAACAAAAAAATAAATAATTTTAATACACATAAAAATTTTTTTTTTTTAAATATATATATAAAAGTATATAAAAAGTATTAGTTAAATTTTTGTCAAACCAACGAGAAGAAATAATAATTACTTAATGACGTAATTCATTTTGTAAATAAAAACTTAACAAAAAAGTGCCAAAATTTTATTAAATCATAGTCACAAGATTAGATAGTCTGGAAGTGTATAGCTTTTTGTAGTATCTCTTTGTACCCATAAAAACTAGATCCCAGATCCTTTGAAGTGCAAAATAGTAAAAACATAATAATACATTTGTTCAGATAGCTTCAGTTTTGTGTCTAATTAATTCGTATTTGGTACGACTAAAATATTTTTTCCTTTTTCAAGATGGCAAAATTTTTATCGTTAAATAATAAGGGTAAATTTAAAGGTAAACAAAAATATCTTTCAGTTACAGCTCAGTTTCTTAAACGTGTTTAATAGACTGAAGTGAAATTGAAATCTATTGATATTTGTATTGATAAATATGTGAATCTAGATTTATTATGCCTGGAGCAAACTGCTCAATATCATAGATGAGTTTTTTCTGGAAATTCACTTAAAACACTTTTATTTTTTCCAGAAATTTCCGTATGTTTTTTGATATTATTTGAAAAAAATTAATATATTTTTACATAAAATTTTACATACGACAACTTTTGCATTTAAACAAATATGTTTTC